CTATGTCCCACCTCTCAGGAGAGTTCTCGAACCCCTGAGCTCTGGGAGATTCTGATCGGAGTGTGGGGCTCCCTCAATCTCTCCTGTTGAAGCTATCCTACTATGGATATCTAATGAAAGAGTGAGGGGAACAGGGGGACTGGACCTTAGGTCTCTGACCCACCAGGGCTACAGAGTCATTCATTCTCTCTCTCTCTCTTTGCCTCTGGCCCAAATGTATTCACCCACAGTGGAAGAGTCATTGGGCCAGAGAGAGAGAGAGAGGCGAATCATACGAAAGGTAGGAATGGAAGGGATCTCACTAGGTCATCTAGTCCAGTCCCATACACTGAGGCAAAACTAAGTATTATCTAAACCATCCCTGACAGGTGTTTGTTTCACCTGTTCTTAAAAACCTCTGGTGATGGAGATTCCACCACCTCCTAGGTAATTAGTTCCAGTGCTAACCTACCCTTACACATGATGCTCACCCCCTAACAATGGGACTGCGTGTGATCAAAGAAAAGCAAGTAGTTGTGACGCTCATTAATGAACAAAATAAACATGGAAAACAAATATCAACTTTCTACCATCATTCACCTTCCCAATCTACACAATCCAGAGAATCACACTTATCAATTTCACCCCTCAAAGTGAGAAAATAGAAAATATGTTAGTTCCAGACCGTCATAACAAACCTCAAGTGATATTTCTCTCCACACACCACTTCAGAAAAATCAAGCAGCGTGCAAACTACAATGAGCATTTAAAAGTGATGCCTCTAACCCAGGGGTAGGCAACCTATGGCACGTGTGCCGAAGGCGGCACACGAGCTGATTTTCAGTGGCACTCACACTGCCCGGGTCCTGACCACCAGTCCGGGGGGCTCTGCATTTTAATTTAATTTTAAATGAAGCTTCTTAAACATTTTAAAAACCTTATTTACTTTACATATAACAATAGTTTAGTTATATATTATAGACTTATAGAAAGAGACCTTCTAAAAATGTTAAAATGTATG